ATGTTACGGTACTGCAAGCTGAGCAAGTTAATTTAAAAATTATTTTTTATGATTTTTGTCATTTTCAAGGGACTAAACTGACCAATCGGCCATGTTTGTTTCGGTCACGTGGATAACTTAACGTGGATTAACGCACTCTGGTTCAAGTTAATTTTCGTTGTCAACGAAGTCTATTTTACGAACCAGTCGAATGAAAATAATACTCAACGAAAAATCATAGTCAACGAAATGAACCAGTCGAATACGCCCATTCATTGACAAATTCTATCAAAAATGTTGAAGGTCATGTGGGCCTATATTTTACTGATAAATTCCCATTAAACAGGATGTCAAACAGGGATGTACCATATCCCCTACACACTTTCAATATTCATAAATAAAGGAAGCTTCTAGAGTTAAACAATGCTGGGTTTAAAATCAAAGATCAATGGAAAACAGGTACCGTACATTTTATGAAACGATATCATTTCGATTGACAACAGTGAACATGACCGAAGATGCTGCAATTGTCAGGAGATTTTTTTTTAATGATTGGAAAATAGATTTTAATTACAAAAAATCAGAAGTTCATATTTTTGGGAAAAGAAATTTAAACAATGGTCTTCAATAATTATTTCTAAAAAATTGTGTGCATATATCGTCGTCGCGCTCGGTTCTCAAAATCATGTCTTCTGTTTTATTTTACCGATTTTACTCGTGCCTCTATAACCCAATTTTGATAAAAAAAAAAAAAAAATTTTAAATACATGTTTGTTTTAGATTTTATGTTCTAAATGTTAATTTCGGAAGTGGTATTTCTCGAATTTGTACTTGATCAAAATTTTTTAAAAATGAATAAATATTAAGTTTATGATTTATTAATGTCCATGTAGACATTCATGAAATAAATAAAACAATTAACAACAAAACAAAAACAGCAACAAATATTTATTTTTTTTAAATATATAGGCCTAGGGGCAATGGCCTAATTTTCCCCCACAAATGCACAAAATGTTACCTGTACTGTATTTGATGTACTTACAATTGAGCATGTCAAATTTAAAACACGAATGCAATTTATGGGCATTTAATATTGCTACATCCTCGATTTTTTTTTTTTATTTATTTATTTTTTTTATTTATTTTTTTTTTGGTTTAGCCACAATAATAGTGGGACCCTGGTGGTGGGTGTAGACTCTCCTGGAATTGCCATTCTTTCGTACAAAAAATATATGTGATGTATTTAAAATTGAACGCCAGTCTTACTGTCAAATAAGGGCTCTTTGAAAAACCTATCTTTTTCTATCAACTTGGCTCCAACCATGGTATAACTAAGGTGGGTGTGACCCCTATTAATAACCTATCAACAAGTTTTAAACCGTGTAGACTTCCTTAGAGGGTGACATTGTTACTATTTATTATTGTAATAATGCAGGAATATAATTATACCGCTATAATTATTTTTAAACCATCAATTTTTTCTATTAATTAGTATGAAATTTAAATCACAATCATACATTCTATTTTTATTTTAAAAATTTATTCGGTTATTTTTCTTTGCAGATACGAAGTGCCTCTGTCTCTGGTCACCGGTCCACTTGCTAAGTGTTTCAGCCGTAATCAGCGCAGGAGCGGTAACCCCACCAGGTATCCTCAAGCTCGGAAAATCAAACCGTTTCCGCTGCTGTGCCAAAACACTTCTACCTCTTATTGGAGTGGCAAATAGTAAATTTTTAGTACGTACAAATGTATTTTTTAAAACTTGTTTCTGGTGATGTCAATTGAAAACTGAAAACTCACTACATCCATAATTGCAACCAAATACATTTGATCAATTTTGTAAGATTTATATAAAAAACGACGTGGATATTACGAACCACTGTTACAAAATCTTTATACAGTAAGCAGGGAAGAGAGTGTTCCCTGCAGTAAGTTATGAAGAAAGTGCATTTTTTAAAGCTTTAAAAGTATTTCTTTCAGTTTATTGTATTCAATTTTAAATCTCACAGTACTTGCATTTGCTTTTGCGGGACTCCCCCTGTGGGGGGTGGGTGTGCTCCGCGTGTGTGTGTCTTATATTAATTGTATTTTATTCCAACGGATTTGTCGTTTTCGCATGTTTACTAATAAGTTTCACCGTATACTTTTAATTTAATTGTGCTGGTCTCTCCATACGGTACTTGCTTACTGGGCTTTCTTTGGTATTCTGCTCTATGGACAGTTGAATGAAATTCTAAGAAATAGACAAGATTTCGTACAAAAATTGCAAAAATTTGATAGAGAAACTAAAATTCGATTTATTCAAGAAGCCAATATTTAAATGTACACGTCCGGAATTAAGAGCATGTACAACACAAGTGTCTTGTTATTGGTAAGGTTATATTATCTGTCGGGAAAATGTTTATAGTGTATTAAAATTTTATGTCTTCTACATATTTTGAATATTATTAAACGGGTAATTAAACTTGTATACTGCTAAGGCAATTTGCGTTTTGTAAAGCTTTTCAATAGATAGAAGACTTTTGGGACAACAGGGTTATTAATGAAGCGGATTATCTTTAGCGGGAGCTAAATGAGGAGATACTTCTCAGATATCGGCTACATATATATCGGTCTAATTATTACTTACATCGAAAAATCCAAATTGAAATAAGTGTATTCACTTTGTTTACCTAACAAAACATTTCAGTTGATTCATATAAATGATGGCGTGTGTCTGAATACATAAATGAACATTAAAAAAAAATCCTTTGCTATTCTAACCGTTAGGGACGCCCTATCTTATAACGTAAAATATAACAAGGAAGCAAATATTTAAAAGATTCAAAATCACTTTCAAGTGCTTTGTATTTTAGGTGAATATTTTATTGAAGCTGTCTCATGATTTGACGTGATAGGAGTCTAGGAGAGCACTAATCATGGAGTTTATCAAATTTATTGAGATTTTGATCTGTTTTACAATGTTTACGAGTCAGCAACCATGGATTGTCAATAGCATATCATCGGTGTCTCGTGTCCCACTCGGTCATGATGTCATCTTCACCTGTGAGATAACTGAGTGTAGTCCATTTTACAAACGTTGGGTTTATAATGGATACAATGAACACAAATACTTTATTAGCTTGCGTTCTGAGACACTCGATAACTTGGCTGAAAGATATACTATTGTTCCTAACTCACGTAATTTAAAGATATCAAATGTTCAGTTGACGGATGCTGGAGAATATGAGTGTTGTTGTGATTATATTATTAATGATAATAAGTGTACATTTAATAACATGAAATCCACATTAACAGTTCTACAGCCACCATCTGCAAGTTCTCCTACATGTTGGTTAAGAGATGCGATCCAAGTTACGTCGGAGATACAAGTATATGCTGGTGAGTCAATCACATTCCAGTGCTCTTCAGAAGGACATGGAAATACATCGCCGATTCTTAACATCACAAAGTCCGATAACTATATTAATCAGCATTTAATTCAAGAAGAATTTGATAAGAAACAGGTCGAATCTGACGAGTTAACGATTAAAAATATCGATACGGAATTCAAATGCTATCTTGAAAGTGAAGCCCTGACCCAGCCCCAAATTTGTGAAATCAAACTAAGTGTGCTATTACCTGTGGTTGAGATTGAGCCAAGATCAGCATCTGTCCTGGAATCCTCTAATATTTCTTTGCAGTGCTCTGTGAGCAGCTTTAAAACAGATGATCTTCAATATAATTGGAAGATCTCACCAGATGTTCCTGGAAAAGTTGTAAGTTTTACATCTTCAATTTTGGAGATAACAAACATTGGGGAAAATATGAACAATTTCGACATTGTATTCATCGTAATCTGTTTCGTCAGGGAGGGAGAAATGGTTTTGAATTCATCCAGTAGTTTGTCCATATCACCGAAAAGTAAAACGTTAACTAACAACGTTAATAATAAAGGACTTGGGACAGCAATAACTAGTACGGTTATAGCAATTGTTGTAGCCACCATAGTTGTTGCAATATTGCTGGCTGGATTATTCCTTTGGCGTCGCCAAAAATTACTAGATAAAACTAAGTCTGAAGAACTTTCAAATACACAATCAATAGTTGGTGAACAGCGGTACTCTGTTGTACAAAACAAGGAAATGCAGTCACGTGATCAATATTCGGAAAACACCAGTCAAGGTGGACGCAAGAGTCTGAATATGGGTTGTAACGAACTTTGCGTTTACTATTCGACAGTATCGGCTGATAATGACCACGAATCTAACAGTAATTATGATAATTGTCATAATGTGGCAGTATGTAATAAGGACATTATAGACAATGAACCGCTTTACGAGAACAAAGGTTTAACGTCGACAGATATTACAAAACTAAATGCAGAGGGGCTCAACTACGCTGATTTGGATCTGGAAATGGTATCATCACGTGATATAATCACAGGACCTAAAACTACATACTCTACTGTTACAAGGGAAACTCATAGATAAATTGAATTAGTATTTTATAGACATGTGATATTTTGACTCGCTACAAGTAGCGTCGTATCCAGAGGATGCGGGGGGTGGGGGCACACGCCCACTTCCCCAGTCGCCCTCAACTGTAAATGTTCGAAACAAAAAAAAATACGTTCAGGTAGTAGTTAAAAATTACCTATCACATTATTTTTCGAGATTGCCTCTCACTTAATCATCAACCCCACCTTCACTTCACCTTCACCCCCGCCCCATTATCCCCTCCTCATTTCAAGGTACGCCACGGTTTCTGTTTAGACATTAGATATGAGGACAAACAATTTATAAAAAAGTTTTATTAACGCCTTGCGCGTTTCACTTCCTCGCCAGAAGGTGCAATTTAAAGTTAAGCTGTGTAGACCTTATCGTCACACTATTTCCTTATTTATGTTTCTTAGGTTTTTCCACTCTTCTGTTTGCTTCTCATGGGAAAACTGTGATGATGATTTTCCTGTTGAAGCCAATCCTTGTGACCACACCACGGGCCGCTTTTTGACCTTGGTACTCTATTCCAATTCATCATTTTTTTTCCTGATTTTATGGTACCGTTTAACTCCGAATATAATTTTGCATTTTGCTTTATAAAAAAAAACATTTTATACGAACATTGATGGTAAGTTTGCTATATAAAAAAACAATAATGAACAAGATAAGAACAAATTGAGGCTGAAGTAAATTGTCAAATGAGGTTTTATTTAAAAAAATAGAAAAACCAACAAAACCAGTTATAATAACAGTCGCAGCATAGGTCTGACTATGGAACATCCTCTATAATACAGTGCAGTAATATATGTACAATAATAATTTTTTTATCTTTGAAAAGTGTGTAAAATAAGAACAGTTTGAGTCTGAAATTGTCCAAAATGAAAATGAGGACAGTGAGCTTGGGAAAAATGTTACTAATTCTATTTTAAAAAGTGTCTCCCTTTTAGGAGATTTTTTTAATTTCATTTTTTGGAAATTTTAAGTTTGGTTTAATTCCATTTAAAATGCCAAATAAGAAAATTACTTGTTTAGCATAAATTTGTAAATAAAATAGGGAAATTCTTTTGCCGTTTTTGGTTTTCTTTTTCAATAAGAATAGATTTTGTAGGCATAGTATGAGTATTTACAAACTTACTAACAAATAATATCGATAGATAGATTTGTCAAATAAAAAATTCTGTTTAAATCTCTTGTGCGGCTTGCGTAGGCCCATGCTGATTTGATCCTAGGTCATAAATTGGAGGACCTTGAGATTAGGATACGTTGCTTGCGAACGTGATAAAATACGTTAAGTTTTGAGTTTCATTTCACAGTGCACCTGAACAACTACAACATAGGCTTATCGACAGTTAACGCTTGCGAACTTGATAAAATACGTTAGGTGTTGAGTTTCATTTCACAGTGCTCGTGAACAACTACATAGGCTTATCGACAGTTAACGGTTAATTAAGGCTTAAGTAACATCATGGAGTTTAACAAATTGATTAATATGTTGTTGTGTGTCATCCTCTATATCAGTCAGCAATTAGGAAGCGTCAGTAGTATTTATCTAGTGTCCGGACCAGATGATGCTCGTGTCGCACTCGGCAAGGAAGTCATCTTCACATGTGATGTAGCTGATAAGTATCCATATTCTATACGTTGGTGGTACGTTGGGAGTGCCCAACAGCTATACATTAGCACAGATGATCAGATTCTAGATCAATGGCCGGTAAACTCTGAAAGTATATACACTATTGTTCCTGGCTCAAATAATTTGAATATTTCAAACGTTCAGTTAACGGATGCTGGTAAATATGAGTGTATTTTTGGTGATGGTGTATATCATTACTATTTTCATCCAACTCGCGCTGAAGCCACGTTAACTGTTCTCCAGCCACCATCAGTAAACTCGCCTCTATGTTCGTTATATAGACTAGAAGCAATTGAAGTTCCGTCGAATACACAATTCTATGTCGGTGAGTCGGTCAGGTTCCAATGCTCTTCCGAAGGACATGGAAATACAATACCAATTCTTAATATCACAAAATCTAATGTTGATGTTATTGAATATGTATTTGTGGACGGCTCTGGTCAGAAAAAGGTGAATACAGACGAGTTTGTAATTGAAAGTATCGACACTGAATTCAAATGCTATCTTCAGAGCGAAGCCCTAACCCAGCCCAAAGTTTGTGAAATCAAACTAAATGTGCTATTACCTTTGGTTGAGATTGAGCCAAGATCAGCATCTGTCCTAGAATCCTCTAATGTTTCTTTTCAGTGCTCTGGGAGTAGATTTAAGACAGATCGTCTCCAATATAGTTGGAAGATCTCACCAGATGCTCCTGGAAAAGTTGTTAATTTTACATCTTCAGTTTTGGAAATCACAAACATTGGGGAAAATATGACATTTTTTGACATTGTGTTCATCGTAACCTGTTTCGTCAGGGATAATCAAATGGTTTTGAATTCATCCAACAGTTTTTCTATATCACCGAAAAAACGTATGTTCACTAACAACATAAACAATAATAAAAACGAATCTGGAACCTCGTTAATTGGTTTGGTTGTAGCAATTGCTCTAATCACTGTAGTTGTCGCAATAATATTGGCTGGGGTTTTTCGTATGCGTCACCGAAAACTAAGTGAGAAAAAACCATACGGAAGACATTTAAATACTGGAGCTCTAAATAATGAGCAACTATACTCTGTTGTACAAAACAAAAACATAAATGCTCATGGTCGTGTAGAAAACATAGGCCAAAATAGGCCTACATCTGGATGCAGAACTGAAATAAAAGTAATTCATAGTTTAAATATAACGGTTGGTCATAATGAATCTGCTGTTTACTATTCAACAGTACCGGCTGAAAATAACCAAGAATCTGACAATAATTATGATAACATTGGTCATAGTAAAGAAAGTTTTAAAAATGAACCGCTTTACGAGAACAAGGGTTTCACGCCAGATATTACAGAACTTAATGCAGAGGGCCTCAACTACGCAGATTTAGACCTTGAAATGGTATCATCGCATGATATAATCGACACAGGACCTAGAACTACATACTCTACTGTTACGATTGATGCTAATTAATAGAGCGAATATACGTATTGTTACTTGCATACGTATGTCAATCATAATTTGTCCTTCAAGTATTATGTTTTATATTTATTTCACAAAACAAAACAGATTATATATATATATATATATATTTATTTATATTTATATATATATAAACACAATAAATTTTAAATAAAAATAGATTATTATGAAAACGGTACCCCACAGTAAGCAAGCTTTAATTGTGGGGTCCTGAACATAAAAATGTGTCCAATAAATAAATCTTGATTCAAAGAGATGACAAATCAAATTAGGGCCTATATAGTATACCGTAATAAAAATATAATATAGGCCTATATTAATATAAAAACTATAACAGACTGAGCTTAAAAAATATAGTTTCATTAGTAACTCAACTTAATATCTTTGCTAGGAGGTTAGACAAAAAATTTCGCCTGTTGGGTAGAACCAGCAATCACCTTCATGAAAAACGGTTTGGAAATCGGTGAGGTGCTTCTACCAGTCACCACTTAACTACGGCACCGATAATTGCAAGACCTCTTATAGACCAAACCATAGCTGTGAAGACATTAATTGGCGTTGATGTGCAAGGCAGTTTAATACAGTAATAACAATGAGCAACTTTATGCCCAATATTTTTTCAGGTTATAAGATGTCAATTCGAGCATTTTGAATATCGTTGGAAATACGACTTTTTGTCTATGTGAAGTTTATCATGTAAACACACCACCTATTAATTTAGTGGCGAATTCAATGGGGGCTGTCAGCCCGGGCGCCCTAAATTTTTCAAAATAAAAAAAAATTAGAAAAAAGAAAATTCTACTCAAATTTTTAGTGCGAGTCCCATTTCTGGCCATCTATAGGTGCCATAAATAGACCCTCCATCTGTGAAAGTCTGTCTGTGGGCCCCTTTATTTCAAATTCCTGGATCCGCCATTGAATTACTTAACCTCCCGACAACTAAAGAAGGTCCACATGCCTCATACGACCGCCGGGAGAATAATCTATCACCGCTCTCAATGAACACTAAAATCGGGCACTCACTGCGCTCCTATGAAGAACCTCCTTCTACGATCCTATGAAGAACGCAACGTCACGACGCGCGCGCAACTGATCGATTTTAATGACGTTCATTTCAGACTGCCACTGACAATTAGAAGACGTCGTCGCGTATCATAGCGCTCACAGGGAGTGGAGTTGGGTTCGTCGTAGGCCTACGAAGGTCGTTCGACTGTCGTACGACGCATCCGGCTTTACACGAAGCGCTACAGTTTGATCGGATCGTCATTAAAAACGATCTGCTAAGAGCATTGTGAAAAATTAACCTGCCGTTTTAAAGACACAGGCACCGGAGAAAAAAATGTTTTTGAGATGTTGTGCAACTGATTTTTCTAAGACACAAAGGGGTGTTTTGGCAAAAAACTAGGGAACTTTTAATGAGATTATTATTATTTAAAAACTTTTTGTACCTTTCGCCCAGTTTCTAAATATTGAAAAATTGCATCCCATTAATTGTTCTTAAGTTTGTTTTTTTTTGGTCAAACATACATTTTGCATCCTAGAAAATCAGTAGTAGTACAACATATCAATTTAAGAAAGTAGAGAAATATCGTCTGGAAGGGTACTCAGAAATTGATAAGTGAATTTTTCCGTAGGACGAGAATTGTTGTATCTCATCGTCTTACCGTTTAATAAATACTGTAACGATAAAAAAAAAATCGTCAAGTTCGCACTACCCTAGCACTGCATGTAGTGGAAAAATATATAGTCCTAGGATATAGCATTTTATCTTATCTTTCTATTTAATTTAATTCCATTTTTAAAATGTTAAATAACCATTCTTCGTATTGATCGTAGATTTTTTTAAAACCAGCTATAATTGTATTGTGATTTTTTTTATATACTTTATTTTATTTTTTATTGTATTTATGTAATATTACGTGTAATCTCGTGATTTTCAATTCATTTTTAGGATATCGTAATATAACTACTGATACGATGTAGATTAACATTCAATTCAAGTCATTGCAATGAGTGAAAAATTTATAAACCAGAATTTATTTATTTGTTGTAGGCCTAGTATTACCTGTATATTAATTATAATGATGACATTTCTATTGTGATTTAATGCTCAAGCCTGAGTAGGCTTAGTAATATTAAGAAATAAATTTCAATATTGCATTCGGTATAGAAAGTTTTCAATTAAAGATTATACCAATGAAATATTCTCTCACAAAGTAAGAGACGTATCATTCCTAAATATTCTATGGTTTAACAAGATACAAGCGACTCATTGGTGGCACGTGATTGTGCGAACATAGTGTACTCAGTCATTGTAACCCATTGTAAAGATACCGTATTATATAGAAAGAGGAACTTTTGTTTTGTAATTTTTAAACGCAATACAAAGCAGCATTAAATAATAGAGAATTTGACTCCAATCGCCGATTGTGTCTTTTATAAGGTTTTTCGTAATAGGAAGTCCGTAAATGCACCGTTTATAATGACAATGATAAATAATAACAATAATAAATGTGTAGATGATAATAAATGGTCTTTATAATATAGGATAATACTCTATGATAAATGATATGATATAATTTTTAGGATAGGGTAGGTAGGATATGTTAGATCTATGTAACATAAATGTATAAACATTTCCATACAACAAATAATCGAAATTCACAGTATAGGCCTATTACATTCCAACTACATTATATTACATTCGGTTTGTGTATGCGTCACATATTGGCGCGTACACACGCCCTCTGCTTCGGCAGCTGGAACCCTGCGATGGGTGCCGACTTAGTGGCGAGTTGCCGCCGCATGTCGCATTTCTGTCGCCGATGGGAGCTACAGTCGGTGTCGTCAATTTGTACAGTACAGTTCTTTCTTTTTCTTTTTTTTTTTTCTGTCTGGCATATCTTATATTGAAACGTGGAACTAATCTCGAATGTATCTTGTAACTATGCATCCGGGGTAGGATCGTTGAGATCCTGAGGCCGCAGCCCGCATAACCCAACAATAATTAAAATCTAATCAAATTTTCAAAAGGCTCAATAGTAATATTAGTGGATAAGTTCATTCCATTTTTGATGCAACAAAGATGTGTGTGGGGTATTGTTTAACGTGAATTTCTGCTAATTAAGTTCTTTTTTGTTAACTGTGTGTAGAATGATCTAATAGATTAAACAAGAAGGAACATATATATAACATAACATAACATGATGGTGGTAGTAGCAGTGGTTGTAATGGTATGATGAGCAGTAGCAGAAGTAGTAAAAAGCAGTGACAGACGTTAACATTTAATAATACAATAATCATAATCGAACTACTAGTCCAATTGATACATGCACATTAAAACTCAAACGATCTTCAGTTCCATATGCTAGTCCTAAATTTAGAAATGCCCTCTGATGTTAAACCTTCCAAGTTTTAAATACAATTCAAATGTGGTGTACACGTCCTCAACCCCACATTTCAAAGTGTGAGGGGAATCATTTCAATTCCCCCTTCCCACTATTCACCTTTCGAATAAAGTTAAAATCACACTTTTTTAGTGGAAAGACAAACAATTACGAATGACTGTCAAATCATTTCATTCGGAAACATATAAAATGAGCTAATAGCTGTAGATAGTAAATAAGATATGGTACATCATTATTTTTATGAATGTTAATCTGCACAAAGTATATAAGTGACCTTTTGACTGTGATTACGAGGTAACTTGAAACACTTTTTATGATGAATATTCTGAAAAATAGTGTGGAAATACATGTTAATTGTAAATTGTTATCCTTAAAATCAATTAACTTAAAATCAATTAAACACCTACCAAATGAAAGCCATTGATATCCAAGATGTCGGTATTTCCTGTAAGAATAGAAGTACAATAAAAAGTTTGAACAGACTAGTTAAAAAAAAATCAGAGTGACACTTCTTACACCATTCAAAAACAATTAGTATTGATATTACAATATCTTTATAAGGAATTAATCATTCTGGCACTAATCATCAATGATAATTTTTGTTGAAAATATATATTAACCATCACTGTGAAAAGCCCATATTCAAATGCATTGCAAAGTGGTAACATAGCCGCGAACTAATTATTTTGAATAGAATTTATTACTTCATTAATATAATACTTTTTTGTAATATAAAAATAAAAATTAGTTTAAAAATTACAAATGAAGACAAATAATAGACTATCTTGTTTCTCAATCTTTTCTAATGTACAGTAATAATAATACCCCTGAATTTTGACCATCAAAATGGCTGGACATTTGACCCTCTACTAGTTTTTGATCCAGCATGGAACCAACAGGGCCACGCCTAAGGCAGGTGGTTGTATTTCCGATCTACTAATCTGGATATTGTATATAACCACTGTCAATGTATCATGCAGAAGTTCAGTTCTGTGCACATTTTTCCAAGCCATTTTCCGCGCAAATTTGAGCTAGTTTTCAAGGTATCATCCACATTCCAGGACGAATAAACTGGCATTTTAGTAATGCTGTAGTAGTAGTAGTAGTAGGTCTAGATAGTTCCATGGACCTAATAATTAACATGTAAATTAATGTACTTTATTTAAAATAGTGTTGTTTGTTTGTCTAATGTTTGAAATATTATTATTATATAGTTTGTATGCCTAGGCCTCAACTAGGGGCCTAGGCCGCGCCAGACAGATTCCGTATTCTCTACATACATACAGTAGTACCAGGGAGATGTAAATTTACTGCACTAAATGCTAGGCTATGCCTACACAGGTAAGACAAGTTGGTATTAAACAAACCTATTTAACGCCACTATTAAGATCACCACTTCCAAGACTTCCTTATCCAAACCAGCAAACATATCTTTTTGAAAGATTGATTCTTCAAAAATGCCTTCGACTTATTATATTATTATTATTGAATATTTTCGCCAATCCTAATTTTTCAATTTTCCGCTCGCGACGACCAATCTCATCAGTTGGCTGTATCGTTACCAGCTCGTTACGGTTGAGTGAATCAGCTGACTCCCTGTCTAGTGCAAATTTCCGAAATAAAAACTGGGGCAAATCGTTATTTTACACATAATTGAGCCATTTTCATAAGTGAAAACCCATATAAATGAAAAGAACCGCCAAATTTACATTGGAATTTTTTGACACGATTTTTTATGGGGTTACCGAATGCAAGCCTTTGAAAGTCGGTACATTTTAGGAAATTCCCTATCTTATAACACTAGCTCAAAATCCTGTAGCACCAGTTTTTTTTTTGGGACCCAGTTCACGAGCCTCGTTTTCGAATACCACACTCCAAAATCGAGTGCCGTCACCGTCATTGTAGTCGCCCATCCCTCTATTTTAAATTAAAGATTAATCATTTCATCCCCGCACTTCCCCTTTAATACGACTTAGGCCTATAAAAGGCTAAGAAGCGGGAGCTATCCCCCTGCACTACCACCGGGGCTTTTGCGTTGGACCCCACCGAGCCCCTAGCCAAAGGTTTCCTTTTCTGTTCACCTGCACTTTCAAGTACGTATCGACGTCCAATTACTTCCCTTATCAAGTAGGCATATACTTCATTTAATGATGGTGTTGTTAGGTACTGAGACATTTGTTCTCAACGAACCTTTTATCTTTCATCTTTTTACGATTTCTTCTATTTGTAAATATATAATTTGTCTTTATATTCTTCATTGTTTATTGATTCTTGCCCCGATAAGGGTCATCATTTTAAATTCTTAATTTAAGTTTAATTGAAGTTAAATAAACAAAGAAACGGCAATTAATGATAATACAATAAAATAATGATAATGATGATAATATGAATGATAATAATAGGCCAAATAACATTAATACATATTATTTTTATATTTTAACCAATGAGAGTGAAGCATCAGGTAGCTACCGAGTGGGACCGCCAACAATGTTATAAAAGGATAAAAAAAATCATGAAAACATCTACATGTCTAACTACATGTCAACAATTACGGTACGAAAGAAACAATATATAAAATATTATTAGTAATATTATATAAACGCGAGTTGAAGTCAGTGGAATCCTAAAGACGGAACTTAATAATGGCGTCGCCATCCTTGACCGAACTTTACTAAAGCGGATGCAATATTCACTTCCGTGTTTTCCACATTTGGTCTTCACCTGAACAGTTAGTACCGGTAGCTTATAGCTTTTAATGAGGGCACGTTGACAACCTATGGGATCATTGATACATTTTATAACATCTACTTTTATTATCATTAGACACATTATTATAGTTATTAGGCCTATTACTATTTATTAGGTCCAGTTATTAATTATTGAATGTTTATGATAGTGTTATTATTATTATTATTATTATTATTATTATTATTATTATTGTTGTTGAGGTTATTATTATTATTATTAATATTATTATTATTATTATTATTATTAATATTATTATTTTTATTATTAGTATTATAATATTATTATTATTATTATTATTATTATATTATTATTATGTTACTTACACACTTAACAGCAAATAAATATCAACATTAATTAATTTAATTTAATTTCAGCATTAAATAAATCAATAGATTAATTTTGCCAGTGAATGGAAAAAATAATTCCGTTTTGTGAAAGGCCCTCCCTGGGCCCCTTCTATTTCGATTTCCTGGATCCGCCACTGTATACCGTATGCCCTGCTCTTAAATTTATGACCTTATAGACAATGGGCCAAAGCTGTTAGGTTTTTTTTTTCAGATTCATTGGAATTTGGTGGAGGCGTAGCTTAACCTGCGGGGAATATACGTGTTGAGTTTCAACATCACAGTGGTCTCGCTTAAAGTGCTTTGGAAGTGACGAGTCAACTTCGCAACCAATATCTGCTTCTCCACCAAAACACATATCGTCAGATAACGCTTACATAGTAGGTCTAGGCCTAATTAGGCAGCATTAATATGGAGTTTAACAAATTGATTAATATGTTGTTATGTTTTGTCATTTATACCAGTCAATCATGGACTGTCAGTAGTATATCATTGGTGTCTGGACCAAAGGATGCTCGTGTCGTACTGGGTGCAGAAGTTATTTTCACGTGTAACGTTACTAAGATTTCCACATATTATATAGTGTGGGATAGATTCGTCAATGATGAGTGGATAATTATTAGCGAAGGTGAAGACATACAGCTGGAAAACGCTCAGAGCACATATACTATTGTTCCCGGCACAAATGATTTGGAAATTTCAAACGTTCAGTTAACCGATACGGGTAGATATGAGTGCAATTATGCACGTAGTAGTGAAAAATATTATTATAATTTCCAACCAATACGCGCGACAGCCACCTTAACAATACTCCAACCACCATCTGCACGTTCGCCTCTATGTTCGCTGACTAGAGACAGGATTAATGTTACGTCAGAGACACAGTTTTATGTTGGTGAGTCAATCGGATTTAAGTGCTCTTCAGAAGGACATGGAAATACATCACCGAGTCTTAACATCACGGAATCCGGTGTGGATGTTACTGAGTACGTATATGAGGACGTTGATAGCAAACATGTGGAATCTATCGAGTTGAAGATTGACGAAAATACTGACTTTATATGCTATCTTCGAAGTGAAGCCCTGTCCCAGCCCAGAGTTTGTAGAATCAAACCAATAGCGTTATTACCTCAAGTTGAAATTGAGCCAAAAATAGCATCAGTGCTAGAATACACTGATGTTTCTTTCCAGTGCTCTGGAAGCGGCTTCAAGACGCATCCTCTCCACTTTGATTGGCAGATCTCACCATATTTTCCTGGAGATGTTGTTAATTCCACAACTTCGATTTTGAAGATCACAAACCTTTGGCAAAATAAGACTATGTTTGATAGTTCATTCATCATAACCTGTTTTGTCAGAGAGGGTCAAATGGTTTGGAATTCATCTAGTAAATTGTTAATATCAATGCAAAAAAAAAATAATAACATCAATAACAACCGACCTGAAACATTGGTAATTGGTATAATTATAGCAATTGTTTTAACTACAGTAATTTTGGCTGGGCTCTTTCGTTGGCGTAACCGAAAACTACCCAATAATACATGCGAAAGACACTTAGATTCTGGAATACTAAATAATGAACAACCATACTCTGTAGTACAAAACCAAAAAACAAATGTTCATGATCAGTATTCGGAAAACACAGGCCTACCCAATGCATCCAAATTTGAAATGAACGCACCTCAGTGTTTAAATGTACCGGTCGGCCATAACGAATCTGCTGTTTACTATTCAACAATACCGGCTGAAAATAACCAAGAATCTGACAATAATTATGATAACATTGGTCATAATAAAGAAGGTTTAAAAAATGAACCGCTTTACGAGAACGAAGGTTTCACGTCAGATATCACAGAACTAAACGCTGAGAGGCTCAACTACGCTGACTTGGATCTTGAAATGGTGGCATCACGTGATATAATTGACAATGAACCTAAAACTACATACTCTACTGTCACAATGGAAACGCGATAGCTTTTTTGATTATTACATGTATATAGTGGCGCAACGAAGAGTCCCGATGTAAAGCTTCTTCGGGACCTTACTATCGTGAGGGCTGGGGAAGCGTATGTACGGGGCAAAACCTTCCATCTGCTCCTGCGTCTTTGGACGTTTCAGTGGCACATTTTGATGTCATGTTTTTTTGGGGGGTTTTTTTCACGTTCTGTTCCTTAAGACGGCCTGCTCGGCTGATTTGGAGCCCATGGTCCTGGCAAAAAGATTTGCTGAATAATATTCTGGGGGCCTTTTGATGTCTGGAGGCCCCAGCTTTAGTCAATGAAAGCTCATAATTGTTACGCCACTGGTATACATTATAAATTATAGCAGCAATAGGCCTATCATTCAATAAGAAGGCCACCGCTCCTAATTTTCCGTGTATATAGAGAGAATCAAATTAGTTGACAGACAAGCTAAAAATTTGTGTAGTTATATAAACCAGTGAAAACTAAATTGTCTCGATTGTAAACTGAGTTAATAGCCAAGACAACAAGCCAGGCGAGCATGCACGTAGACAACAATATAAATATGTATATTCATATGGTGATATTAACTTGTGTAAATGCTCTATTGTCTGTCAGAAGCCTATGAAATTAGGCCTACTTGGCGAAAGCGGAACTGAATATCCGGTTTTGTTTTTGAGTCAAGGATGATGCCTATTGACCTTTGTGTTTCAACTGCAGATACCAAATCGCACAAAATATATTATTCTTATTATGATCATGATGATTCGGGATGGCTATGCCCGAAACATGTCGTATCAAATAAATTTCTACTGAGGCAGATCACAACCGTGTGTTTTTTATTATATACATATACATATATATATATAAATAATCTAGATGTGTATAAGAGACAGCCAGCCAGAGGCATTTTATTACACAATTTCTTTATTCATTTATTTACAGGACTACATTCGTTGAGAGCTATGCTACACGATGTATTTATTAAGTCCTTTATTTGAACACTGTATTTACCTTTCTTTGATGATTTATATATATATATATATATATATATATATATATATAGGGCCTATATAAGTGATATATAAAAATGGCTTTTTTTCAGTGGCGGAAGTCCACAGGTACCTTTTTCCCCAGACAGTTTGTAAACGTTTTTTTTTTTATTCATTAGCATTCGACTCTCCACCATACAGACACTGAACAGATCCTACTTCTATTTGTATTTATAACTCGCGTATAGTATTTTAACAACAGTCTCATAATCGCACTTCGGAATATGTAACTTTATAGCAAGTATCGTGAATTATTGTTCCGTTATATGGGAGATCCAACTCAGCATATTTAAGTACATCTGTTTTTAAAGAACAGCATTTCATTTCAACTTTTAATGTTGCTTTGCTACCCTTCAAGGATAAGTCTTTATTAGTAGTTTCAAGCGGATCTACATTTTCATAAACAGTGTCTCTTTCGTCATCGCGCATTTCCAATTCACACGAACTGTCATTTTCAGAGAGGCCTAAGTTTAAGTTCAACGTCATGCATTTCTTTCGCGTTTCCGTTTGTCGTTCATGACGCGTTTTAAACAACGGTGACATTTTATCATTTGGTGAGATTATAGGTCGTTCTACGATGTTACCTCGCCTCGGTGCTGGGTACTCTCTTGATGTGAGTTTCTTCTGCGAGAGGGATCTATTGCGTTTGTTATAAACTGTGTATCCCTCAGATCGTCGATTAATTAATACATAAATAAAACCAATACACAATATAGAAGTAAGTGCGACTAATGTGCTCGTAATAATTAATGTTATGGGTTTATCTGATGTTTTCGTAACGTATAAAATGGCAGTTGAATTTACCGTTGTTCCTCCTCCACTCACTAAACACGAAATTGCAGTACCGTTATATTCTCTCTGCACGTTAGGAATAATGAATGTTGAATTCGATTTAAAATACATACCAGAGGGATAATCTGGAATAAAATGCCATGAATACGTAAGCCGGTTACTCTTAAATCCCTCTGCGTTACAAATGTATTCCGCAGTTTCCCCTTCTTTTACAGTTGGAAATTTAGTTACAAGAGTGGCATTGCCTGGGGGAAGTAAATCCAACTGACAAGTTTCGAGCGTTCCGTCATCAATACGTAAACGACATAGAAATGTTGTCTCATCATTAATAACATATAGACTAGATGTTTCCACTAGATTGTCCCCTACAATTGCATGTTTTGACCAAACTCGTTCTCCGTCACGCAAGAGTTTCAGTCTTGTGTGAGAATTTGCGTGAGAAGTAGTTGTACAGAAGAAACGAACATTATCTCCGGCAAAAAAATCTCCTCCACCTTTAACTTCGATGTCACATTCAACACCATGTTCGGTGGGTGCAAGTACCTTTATAGAAGCTGCAGCATTTGGCTCAAAGCGCACCACAATATCGTTTTCATCAACATAGACACATTCGTACTTGCCACTGTCTTCAGGCTGAGCATTGGTAATTCTAAGGTCATAGCTGCGATCTCCTGACACACCAGTTAGGATAAAGAATCGCTGACTTTGATCAGTATTTACCGTATTGAGTATCTCCCAGTTGTTACTGATGTAATCTAGTAAAGTATAACTATACCAACGAATATACTCCGTGTCGCGCCGGCCGTCAACATTACATCGAAGTGTTGTTTCTGAACCAATCCTGACCGTCTGATTCTCAGGGTATTCTTTGATCCATATCCCGTGGACAAATAAAGATTGGAATAATAGCAGCAGGTATATCAGAACATCAATACTTAAGGGTAACATCATTGTGATAGTCAAGAATGAATATAGGTCTAAATGAATTGAGTTGGTTGTTTGGTGTCATGGTCTTAAATACGGTAAGTGACTAATTTCTTAGGGTTACACTACTTCCGTTTTTTGGCGGATTGTACTTGTTGGACGATTTTGTATCACCATTTTAAATGATCAACCAAAGCTCAAGATACATAATTAAATCCTCAAGGGCACATGTTTTGTTCGCAGAAATAAGTTAGGTAATTGACATGATTTTGTTTTAAAACATTTCCTATTTGGTAGTAATTTTTTTTTTTTTTTAACTTGGTTTTTTTTTTTTAAAAAAAGAGAAAAAAAAACTCATTACATTTTACCTCATTCTCAATTTGTTATTTCATTACTTTTAAGCAATGTTAGCCTCGTTGTGCTAATGAAATGTGTTCTTCATGTGTTTTTTTTTTATGCACTGCTTCCTTCTTATTCTGATGTCCGCATCCTCTGTTATAAGGTTTCAATGAGCATCTTCCAGAACATGATAGCTTTACCTTGTGTGCTTGAATGAAAATGTTATTTTTCCTTCACAATCTTTTCTTTTGGGAAAAATATCCGATGAACCGTCCATTAACACATGTCACTAATATAATTATCCATGATAATTTCCAAAAATCTCACGAAAATTATTCGATTTCGTCATATAGGCCTAGGCCTATAAGGATTCTTTTTAGAATTATATTATATTTATATTGTTAGAGACCCAAATGGGAAATTTTACATTTCAAATCTTGATTTGGTTATCCTAGTTCATAATAATTATTCCCACTTTTAATTGTATGTTTTCTATTTGGCGCAGTGGAAATGTTTTTTTTTTTTTTTTTTGTTTTTTTTTTTTTTTTTTTTTTTTGGTTGTTTCTTTCTTTTCCCCAACCTTGAGTTCGGGGTTTAAATCCGTCGATGTGCATTTCGGTTGTATCCTGGAGCACGGCACTTTATCTACTTTTCTTTATACTTTTGTTTTTGCTCTTTTGGAGAAAATAACGAAATCTAAATCTGTATCTACTTCAGTCTACCCAGCTGTACCAGCAAATTTCTGGAGGTAACCTGTGGTGGACCAGCGTCCCACCCGGGAAGCATCAAACTCATCCGCTTCACGCAACATAAAACTAACCCAAGCCCAGACGAGCTCTTTCTTTCAAGATTTAAGAATTAAAATTAGCCCTATATTTTTTCTTTTCTCTTTTGATGAGTGTTCCCATCTTCATTATTTCACCATCTTTTTCTGATTCTCAATTTTTACCGTCAATATACGTCTGTATATACGAAGCTCGGGATACGGCAGTATTAATGCCAATTACAAAACAAATGTGACGTACCGAGTATCTACTGTCTCTTATACACATCTAGATGTGTATAAGAGACAGGAATATAATATAGCGTAACAGTAATGAAACTCAAATACTTAAGATGTTGACTTTAGAAACACTAAAATTTAGTTGGCGAATATTTCGGCTACTCCTGTAAGATTTTATGACAAGCGTTGACAAAGACTACAGGAGTAGCCGAAATATTCGCAAAATAAATTTTAGTGTTTCTAAAGTCAACATCTTGCGTATTTGAGTTTCATTGCTGTTACGCTATATTATATTCTACATATGCTTCGAAACACACGTAATAACAATAATAGTGGTAAGCCAGTTTGTAAAAATGCATGGATAATATTTAAGAATAATTATGTAAAAGAAAATAATTATGAATGGAACGTTATATTTGAATAATTCATACTGTGTTATTAGTATTAACTTAGGCCTATATTTGTATTTTGAAATCGAATAAATCAAAAAAATCAAATGAATATTTCGTACGCAAAAAAAAAATGTTTGCACATTGCAGGCGATTTGTTGGCACCGATACAGGAATCCCGCGGTCTGATTTCTCCTGTTTTATGACAGTTTGGTAGTTGATTGGTGGGTTGGCTCAGAGGTTGTGGTTTTAAGTTACAAATCCTTGTTGTAATATAATTTTATTACAGGCTAGATGGGAATTGGCTAAAAATAAGCGGATCAAACAGTATTGGTTAATATTAAAGTTGTTTTAAAATTAAAAATAATAAATTAAAATAATAAAGTTGGTTTCGGAGGCATCTGGCATTGACGATGATGATGATGATTTTGATGACGATATATGAAATATTATTCTCATGATCTTTTTAAAGAAAAATAATGATAGGCCTTATTTGTTTTTCTTTTCTTTTTTTTTTTTTTGCAAAAAAAATGGGAGGAGGGTACGCCCCTTACGCCCCCACCCCCTAAATCCGCCACTGAAGAATGATAATTTGATGACGTAATCTCTGTACTAAACAAATGTAGATAAGAATTAGATAAAGTAGGCCTATGATAAAATTGTCGTTAACACCCTCGCCCTGTATGCTATACAGATACAGGCTAGATGGGGATTGGCTAAAAATAAGCGGATCAAACAGTATTGGTTAGTATTTTCGTAAGGTGACAAAACTTCCCTAATAAAAGAATATTGATTGATTTATAATGTTCAATTGAACGACACAATGTTCACTCCAGAATTACATGTGAATAAACAGTGCGAGGTTCGTTGTCATGGATACTTGATGCTGACGCTTCCAGATCCAATTCGGCGTAATTCAAACTTTCGACGTTTTTTTCATTTTCTGTATTGTTTTCCTCGTGAGTTATATTTGATGACGCTTGTACATTCTGATAGCATGTTTCGTCCGGTAACGATTCAGATGTGCTCTTAGAACCACCATCGGCTTTGTAATTACCATAAACGTGCGTGTCTGGTTCATGTGTACTAACTCCATTCACATCCTTTCCATAATCAGCTTCTGCGGGGTCACCTGTAGATAAAATTTCTTGTTTATCATTGGAAATTGAAACGCACTGGGACATTTCTGGAATTTCCGTTTCACACGGATTGGGCTTATTGTTATTGGCGATCTTCTCACATGATTTCCGCTTATGTTTAAACAAAACTATTCCTATAATTAGACCTATCACCACGAGTAGGCCTAAAACTGTACCAATAAAAATTGATGTAGAGCTACTACTTGATCCTGTTGTAATTTGTGTCGAGGTATGTGCGGTTGGCGACGTCTCTAACTGAATATATAAAATAACACTGTCAGCGGCTTGGGATCCTAGGTCATCGACAGTACAGAAAAGCTGGCACCCATTAAGTGCCGGTGATACATTTTTAATTGTAATTCTAGAATGCGAAGAGGAAATTATTTCTTCACTACGGTTAGGACTACTGCAATTTACAAAATTATTGTTCATATTCCATTGCCAAGTAAACTCTGGGCTTTCAGCACCTTTGGAATAACAATCAAAAACTCTAGCGCAGTGATTTGCGGCGGTATAATAACAACTCCAAGTATCAGTGGTTTCAAAGAACAGCTGCACTCACCAACTTACACGTAAAGTTTGCGTTGATGTGTGACGTATTTAGTGACACACTATAATTCACAATTTTAGTCTCACCGCCGTGTACCGTCTCGATATCAATAATTTCTTCGCCATCAATAACCGTTAGTTGGGGAAGGGGATCACCCACTTGACTCTGACATCTAAATACAATATCATCTCCAACGTCAATTAATTCATTTGAATTTCCATCTATGTGAATTATATCACATGACGGGGATGTATAATCAGGTGGTGCCATTTCGCCAGGAGGGTCAATAGACAGAACAGCTGAAGCAGACTTGAATATGTCGTCAGCTTCTTGAAGTATCATGCATGAGTACAGACCAGCATCAATTAACATTCCCAAATAAATAAATAAACTGATAAAAATAGATAAAAAAAAAAACAAAGTGATATATATGTATAAATAGTGTTATGACGGAAACAATAAATACTATCACAAAAATATCAATAGATGGATTTGAACTGTAAATGGCATTATACAACTTAGAAAGGCGGTAGACTTAGGCCTACCCATTTTTGATAGATCTTCTATACGTTGACAGACATATCCCAGCTGTTATAGCACCAGTGAACAAGACTATCTAAATCTACTGTAATTACGAAATTGTACAATTAAATAAAGAGGATTTTCCTCAAAATCAATTTAGTTAGTCTTCAATAGAATTCCAATGGTTTAGGGGTGTAGGTCTATTAGATATACCAGTATGTTAGAAAAGTGTTTCAATTGAATCATTAATTGGGCTGAGGATATTACTGGTTTGATTTTACCAGGACAAGCAGATTACAGATGAGCGTTCTGCATCATATAGCTTAATATTTACCAGGGGCGGATTTAGGGGGGGGGCCGGCCCGGCCCCGGCCCCCCCTTTTGGGAGGTAAAAAAAGAAAAAAAAAAGAAAAAAAAGAGAGAAAAAGAAAAAAATGATGGCCAAGAATGCCTCAAATGTTATGTTCGGGCGTCTAGAA